CAAACTTGTTGCATGACGTTCCGTCTTCGGAGGCCAGAGCCACCTGGACTTAGTAACACGTCGTCACATGGGTAGCATTTATATTTAGAACCTGTAGTTACAGTTGATATTTCTTCTGCAACTGTCATGAGCGAAACTGCCCTATACAGACTCCTTACCTTCCACGTACAAAACCTCATGGCTGTCTTCCTTAGTTTATGTCCTTTATCCAAAGAACCATCCAATGCCTTTCGTGGCATTTCATAACAAGCTTATTTTTTGCCGTGAGGAGTTGTTAGCTCTATGCCCAACAAACACATTGGAGGACCACCCCTTGTCGGCTGTCCGCGGCTGTTTATTCAATGTATTTGCAGATAACCTCCATACTTGGAGGCCGTCTCCTGCATCCGCAACCTGGGGACGCGCCATAGATACCATAAAGAAAAGCACACAGGTTTGTCTAGAAGTACACGCAGAGAAAACTAAGTATATGTTGCTGCCTCGTCGCCAGAATACAGTACAAAATCATGACATAAAGAGAGCTAACAGATCCTTTGAAAAGTGGCACAGTTCAAATATTTCGGAGTGACAATAACAAAACAAATTTTGATTCAGGAGGAAATTATAAGGAGATTGAATTTGGGTAATGCTTGCTATCATTCAGTCCAGAATCTTCCGTATTCCCACCTGCTGTCTAAAATGGTGAAAATTAGAATATACAAAATTATAATTTTGCCTATGGTTCTGTATGGATGTGAAACTTGGTCTCTGATATTAAGGAAGAAGCATAGCCTGAGGGTGTCTGAGAACAAGGTGTTGAAGAGAATATTTAGGCCGAAGATGAGATGAGCAGGGCATGTAGCACGAATGGGGAGAAGATGAATGCATATGAGATACTGTGGGAAAGTCAGAGGGAAAGAGCCCACTAGGAAGATCAAGATGTAGATGAGTGGGTAATCATAAAATGCATGTTCGAGAGATAGAATGGAGTGGTATGGACTGGATTGATCTGGCTCCGGATAGGGACCAGTGGAGGGCTCTTTTGGACATGGTAATGAACTTTCGGTTTCCATAAAGTCTTGGAAAATTCTTGAGCAGCTGCGCAAATGGCGGCTTCTCGAAAAGTTCTCAGCTCAATGTTGTTAGTTAGTTTTAGTTACAGGTTGTTTCAAAATATTTAATGCTCGTATAACGATCCGCTTGTCACTAACAAGCAAATTACACAGCCTCACTGCTAATTATCACAGTTGTTCTTCAGATTATTGGAGTGTGTCCGTGATCAATTTTTAAGACTCTCTTCCTAGGAGCTTCGCGACGAGTGAGTAAAATTTTGTTAACCTTACCAGAAAGAGACATAAAACAATGTTTATGCAACATCCCAACTCCGTGCGAAATGCTTAGCACGATTCTGTTAACTTTTTCCTGTTTTCACAACAGGATTTATTGAATAAATTAATATTTCATATGCCTTTAAAATTCACTTAGTCGGGGGTGGAGTCAAGCTGGGTCCACTCGGCACGGCGGCCACTGTTTGGTCAATTGTACCTGCCCCGGGTGATTATGATGATGAAGAATTTGGTGGAATGAAGACTGGTAGGCCGGTCACTGTAGCCGAGCGGTCTAAGGCATGTACTGTCTTCGCTCGCTTGGAAACTGGGATTGTGGGTTCGAATCCCACTCAGGGCATGGATGTTTAGTTTGTGTGTGTGCGTTTTTCTGTGTTTTGCTACAGGTAGAGACCTTGCGACGAGCTGATCACCCGCCCAAGGAGTCATACCGAATGTGTAAGATCTAGAAAAACCGAAGTGAACGGAGAAGTTCATGGAGGTGGGCTAGGCCCACTGAGGCTGTAGTACCAAGGGGAAAAAAAGATTTGTAGGGGAAACCGAAGTACTCGGAGAAAACCCGCCCCAACGCCACTTTGTCCACCATTAATCCCACTTGACCAGACCCGGGATCGCACCCGGGCCTCCGTGGTCGGAAACCAGCTACTAACCGCTTGAGCTATGGCGCGTCCGCACGTGCCTTTAATTTACTGACATAACATACAGGTACTAGCACAGTTTCCTTCCAAACAATGACTGTTCCTTCCAATCGACTTTAGTCTCAACTCTGCCCTATACAAGTTATTCGAACAAGTAGAGAGGTTAAGTTTAAATGCCTCGTATTGAGGCAACTGAGTAGTTAACAAATGACAGCAAACTGTGGAACATTTTGTTGCAGTCTGTAGTTTAATTAAATATTCTGAGAGCATTGTATACCCTCGTAGAACGTTCTTCAAATCTTTTACTAGAACACACACTAGTAAAACTTGAAATAGTAGTAAGGAGTGCGTGTATATGGATCTAGAGGAATAAAAGCAAGATGAAATTGCAGCATTGTTCCTTGGCTTTCGGTGAGGCGGTACTGTAACTTATATGTGACATACATTCATTTAGTGCACAGCAGAGGAAGTCATTTCCAAGCATTTCTGAATTCTTGTATACTGGAACGACCTCGGCAAGAAGTAGAACATGCTACTGAAACATGAAAATATTTTAATTTACAGTTCATTGCTACATATGTAAAGAAAAGCAATTAACAACTAACCAGATTAGAGAAAGAATGAAGTAATTTCGTATCATCGTTAAGTCCCCCCCACCTCAATAAATATATTCTTTTCATAACAAAACTTTTAGCTAACGTGATTTTATCCTATATTTTGGGGGTTGTAAAATCTGACACTCATTCCACTTGCTTTATGATGGTTTTCTTGCTTCGATTAATCTCGAACCCTGAAGATTGAGGCTAAATATTTCTCCGAAACATTGGTTGATTCTAGACAGCCTACACGGAATTATATCCTAGAAGATAAACTCCCCATAACCACCGCCCTGAGAACCTCAACTCCTACACTGTTCTTGTACACTCCATATAAATTCATTTGATTAAATGAGAAACTAAATCTAGAAGCTCTTCCTCTAATTATTTTTATTGCTAGTGGGGTGGGACTAAGTCCCTTGTACTGCGGCCACTTCTGGCCTATTGCACCAGGCCCAGATGATAAGTGAGGGTGATTGTGGAGCAATTGGTGGAATGAAGATTGGCAGGGGAAACCGAAGTACTCGGAGAAAACCTGCCCCAGCGCCACTTTGTCCACCACAAAGCCCACTTAACCAGACCCGGGATCGAACTCGGGCCGCCGCGGTGGGAAGCCAGCTGCTAACCGCTTGAGCTATGACGCGGCCCAAGTTCTTCCTCTATGACCCTGTACTCCCAGTCGTGTGAATATAGGGCGTCCAGCTGCTTCACGTTATTCTTTACACCTTGTGAGAGAGTAAAATAGGACTTGCAAATGAACAAAGGCTGGATCTGTACACCGACCCAGGCAGAGTGCCGGAGACTGGTTGTTCATCAGAATAGAAACACACTCAAAACAAGACAAAAATTTAGTTAAGTACACTATATATTTACTCATGAAATTTTTCGGTATTCTATTTGTGGTAGTAGAAAAGAGATTCATAGTAATGCCCAACTTATCGGTAACGTATCTGTCGAACCCCGGCTCCGGACAATATTTGTCAAGTCTTTGAACATGAAAAAGTAGAGTGAGTGACTGAGCGACTGAGGAATTGGGTGAGTGAGAACAGTGATGGTTTGCGGTTCTGGTGAATTGTCTGAAACTTAGTTTTATGAGCCATCACGGAAAACTGTTGTATAAAACATTAACATGAAAATAACTACCTAGGAAATGGAAGGGGTTAGCAGGGAACTGAAACAAGACACGAAAGAGTCGAGTCATTGATAGATTATACGAGAGATTTGCTTATGTTTCAAAGTGTTAATAATTACGTATCTTGCTAATGTTTTGCTCAAATGTGACATGAATGATTCTTTGTTTTCATGTTCCTTTTCAGGTTTGAAATCCAAATAAGAGGAACAATATAAACCAGTTCCCTAAATAAAAACAGGCGTTCCATATCCTCATGATGGCCGATACTCATCTGTCTCCATGGAATGGAACGAACATCAATATGGCTTATGATTCATCAGACTCCTTGAGTGACAATTCTTTGTTTGACGACACTTTATCTTCCATGAACGATGGCTATCCAACAAATTTAATTTTTATAGACAATCCTGAAGACATGTTAAAGCCATGGATTATTAATCCCATGTTTTTTAACATAATTATCACTCACTCTGTCACACTTCTTTTCGGTTTGGTTGGTAATATTATCGTGGTGGTAGTGATGGTGGGGGATAGAAAGTCCCGCAGTGCTACCAACTTGTTCCTCGTGAGTCTTGCAGTGGCTGACCTCCTGCTGCTTCTAGTGCACGCGCCACTGGAAACATTACAGTATTTCGTGGTACAGTGGGACGAGAATGCTGCTGTGTGCAAGATGGCGATGTATGCGTTGCTACTGTCTGCTGTTGTGTCTGTCCTCAACCTTTCAGCTGTCACACTCGAGAGGTGAGTCTATATTCCTGGCATGCGATTGTCGTGGTTGTTCTCAGAATTTACAATCAAATAGTAACCTTTCTTTTAATTCGCACAGAGAGGGGTGGAGTCCAGTTGGGTCCATTCGGCACGGCGGCCACTGATTGGCCTATTGCACCTGCCCCGGCTGATTGTGATGATGGAGAATTTAGTGGAATGAAGATTGGCAGGGGAAACCGAAGTACTCGGAGAAAACCTACCCCAGCGCCACTTTGTCCACCACAAATCCCACTTGACCAGACCCGGGTTTGAACCCGGGCCACCGCGATGGGAAACCAATGACTAACCGCTTGAGCTATGCGGCCTTAAAATGGTAACTTATTACCTAAAAGGCATCTTGGATCACTTGCTCCCAGCTACTTCAATACAATTCATAATCACCTTCACATCACATCCGAGATATAATCGCTTCTGTTGAAACGTCGTTAAATGATTTAGGAGTCAATCATATAGGTGTAACACTCTCATAATTCACTGATACTCGGTTTAAATATGTGTTTTCTATGAAGAAAAGCAGACGCGGAACGTACTCAAAGCTGAAGTGCCTTAGGCCTGCTAACTGATAAAAGGTTAAACGTTAGAATTTTAAGAAACGAAAATGGTGAAAGCGGGTGATTTATTCGTATGATCCAGTCTGACTGTAAGAACTGGTGAACAAAGAGCAGCATATACATCCTAGTATGATATATATTTTTTGTGAATCTCTTCTCTTTTATCTCGAATATTACCACGCTGGACTTCAGTAAATCTTTGAAGCTGTGTTTGGCAATTTTGGTACATCTTACACCCATGCTACTGGCTGACTGATACAAAGATAATTCTCGGAACTGCGAGGTATTGCGGTTCTTTAAATTTGAAGACTTCTACATTGTCATCTCATTCATATCACGTTAAATATTACTATAATTTGTAGTGCTGTATCTAAGTTACTTCGCGCATGCTCCGGACTAGAAGTGCGGCTATTCTTGTGAATGTGACACCATATTCTTATCTCAAAAGGATATTTGTTACTATTATAGTCACAGGGAATAATGGAAATTCACTGCGTCAAGCGTTCATTGGCATTTTAAGGACTAAAGTGATCAGACGAAGAAACAAATAAATAAACCTTGGTCATTTTTTATAACTTTTCGCTAATTTCAACGTTGATTTCTTCTGTTCTGATCTGACCTCATATTGTTACGTATATGAGTCACTATATATGGGGTTTGGATTGACGAATAGATTCATTGACCACTTAGAGGCCGTAACTACTTATAACTATAACACTATTGCTATTTCCACAATTTACAGCTCACTAGAACGCAGTCTAGTGTTCTCAGTCTTAACACCGCTCTTTTCCAACCCGCCTTTGCTTGTATCGGCGCAGTCGAAATGGTGCTATCCCTGCTACACCTGTTTCTACCTTAGGACAGTGTATGATGGCTACTGGAAGTTGTCCTCACAGATCAAACTAAGGAAGATCGGTATAGGTACGGGAAACTAGCTGGGTCGGTTTGCATGAGTCTCAGGGTAGCGATGCCGAAGAAAGCGTTTTTCTGAGAGTTGAGCCAATTGACGTTTATTCGCCTGCTAATTCACCACACTCTTAAATTGATGTATTCTTACGTTACAGCGTTACTATCGCAAGCTATAACTCGGAGCGTGCAAAGGTCACGTCCGTTCAGTTCGGAATATTGTGAAAGTCTCCTTTTGTGGAATGGCTTGCACCCCCACGCCGGGAATTCGAAAGATGGTGTTTTCAAATACATTTTATACCATCTTCCGTGGGAAGCTTGAACGAGGCAACCCAAATCATACTGGCCCTCATTCACAGGCAATTGTAACAAGCTCTGACCTGTCCTTTTAGGCGCGTCCGGTTCCCTGTATCCGAGCTAAATTTATGACTGCTCGTAAATGTCATAACTCCGGACTTCTTGTTTCTGCCAGAATCTAGAAATTTTCAACGTAAACACCGTATTGCACGTCCCAGACGATGAAATACGAAGAATCTACTACCTAGCAACGGGAAGTGTTTACCGAGTCGTTACCCAGAAAAGGCCCTGGTATATCCACACATCTGGCCGTCGTTGCATAGCAGTGGCTCTGCACGTTACAACGTAATTACATGTCCATGTAGAAGGTAAAGTTTTCCCTGGTCCAAGATCTGTCTCCATAAATTTTCAGTGTTTCTAGACTCCGGCACTAAAGAGAGGTGAACAGCAAATCGTTGCGTGGCCATCAGATAAATCGCCAATGCGCATTAAAAATGGAAATTAACCCAAATTACTCCTTTCTTTCCCGCGCATTCCTGGCATCTTCTTATAAAGTTTGCATTTACGCGCTGAAAGTCTGTTTGAGAAGCAGCGTAAACTCCCCTTAGGACATTTCTCTTCCAGTCTTCTATTGTGCAAGGCTTTGCTTTATGGTCCCTCATAAACAAAAGTCACACGGGTTGAAGACATGATTAGCGTGTTGGGCCCAAACCAGCATTAAGTATTTTGTATCTCAATTCTGGATTTTCTTCCCCAGTAACGAAACTGCCTCTTTTAACTTATTCACGAATTTATTGATAGTTTTTCTGCGCAGACGTGTAATATCCTGAAATTTACACCAGAATCTTCCTCTCTTCTCCATTTCAGATGGATATCATACTAAAACACTTGTGGTTCCCGTGTGTAGCGACTGGCTGGATGTTCAATACAGCGGCAGGAGCTCGGAATTATGATCGGCCGGCACATAACACATAAAACAGCTTCACAGTAGCTGTTCAGCTATTTATTGGGGCGATATTGAAGATAAATTGCACTGTACGTATTGATTTGCTGATCGCGTCAAGAGTCCGAACGTACGCGTGCCTAGCTTACGCGATTAGCCTGTAGCTCTTCCGCTTGTACAACTGGACGTTTTGCGGCAGGCTATAAAATAATCTCTCCGTATATATGCATATTAATAGAATATCCTCTATGTACCTAGTGTGTATCTGCATGTGTGTTTTCTCAGTAATTTTATTAATGTTCGTAATATGGCATGAATCCCAGGCTTTCATAGACCAACATATGAACGTACATTTCGATTCCCAAACATTAATTATACCAACGTGCCGATATGCAAAGTTTCGAGGTGGGGAAACACTAATGCCATTCAATGCAGGGTCACACAATTCTGTGTAGCGAATAGATCTTCGTTAAATAAAAATAATTAAAGTGCAAATGAAATGTTTTCTATTTGAGGTTCTCACAGGGTGGTTATGAAGAGTTCTGTTTGCTGCCTGCTTCCACTCTCGTCTCTTGCTTTGCTTATTTTTTCACCCTGAAGATGAAAGCTTCAACGGACGAAACGGCCTTATACCGCAGAATATAGAGCTCTTCTTGAAAAGTGTTAGTTCAGCATAAGAACACTTTTGTATGTTAGAAGCTATTTTATCTACAACACTGTCTACATTTATGCATACAGCAGAGCATAATACAGAAAAGGAAGCCCCGGCCTGGGTATCGAACACGTGACATTATATTTGAAAGCTCTAAGACAGCATATGGCTTATGCCGAGCGGCCGCTGTGATATGCTGCATTATAATTAACATTATATCTCTTATTATTAATATTATTATTATTAGAGGGGGTGGATTTCCCCATTCACTTAGACCAGTTATTGGTCCATTGTGCGTCCCCCCTTTAATTTCTACTGTCGCCATATCCTACCGGTACTGGTGCGTGATATCAGCCCCGTTCAGCCAACGAGGTCGGCCGTCGGTACCTGATATTACCCCATCTACCAGAGGCATTGGAAACTACTTGGGCGGGAAATTGTTGCCCAGTTTTGCTCAGAGGTCTCCTAGAGATACGAGGATCTTTTACGTGCCGTAAATTTACGACACGGGACCCACGGCTTAAAGTCCCTCCCGGAGGACTTGTTCCCTGAATTTTTCCGCCCTTAAAAATTCCACGACCTCCGCCGGGTTTGAACCCGCGTACCTTGAGTCATGAGGTGGGAACGTTACCCCTAGAGGCCGCTTAACATTATATCTAAATAATTTGATACGACATTTATTTAAATATTAGTAAACTGTGTTTCTCTGAGTAGCCGTGAATACGGTAGGTTTGTTTTTTGGAAACTTAAAGCAGGAAACTCCAAGAGAAATAGAAGAATATGGCCGGAATAGGAGTCTTGCATAAAACTGTTGGCTCAGCGCAGTGCAGTGACTATCCCTTGCGAATAATGGAGGGCGTAAAACTTTTACGACAAAGAGTCACCAAGTTTCCTGTTTCTCGTAAATTTATTTCCCCATTGTCATTTGTTCCCCCCCTTTCTTTTCAAACGCATCACAACTGTGCCCGTATTCTCAATCGGTGTAGCAAGTGGGGGTAGGGTCACATGTCCGCACTATATTACGCATGAGAGGACACTTGGTTATATAAAAATGAGTATTCGTAACTTGTGACATTTCTGTTGAAATATTAGCAGCAATCTGAGTACTTCACAGAGACTCCTGACTTGTTAACAAATGAAACAACACGGCATCCAACAATTTTTATGCTACGTATAAACATTTTTACGATTTTCACGCTACTCTGTAGAGAACTGTCTGATACTGGGATATGCTTAAATGTTCTGTGCATAATGGTTCCCTAAAAATATTTAAGAGAAATGGCGGATACTGACCAAATCCAACAGAGAGATAATTCTATAAAAATCATTACGATTTTTTTTCCTCATCCCTTATTTTAACAGTCTCAATATGGCAGTAATTAGAACATTTTAGGTTGGACAGGACCGGTGCCATATTCTCCTGTGTAAATTCGGCGGAGGGTGAAGACAATCACTCATTTCCCTCTACTCGTACTGCTGATGTTAAGAATTGTAGACCTCTATCACAGCTCTCCCATACCTTCCCATGACGTGGAACTTAATCAAGTAACTTACCAGGGTTAGAGGATCAGTAGTCTTGCGGGGTGTATGACTCACTAGAACTGTGTAACACATCTCAGTTCCC